ACTCTGTTACCTTATAGGTCAGAGATAGGCATGGTACATGCAGGTAGACAAAACACAGCCTGAAAATGAGTGTGACTTTTGTTTGCTTGACACAGCAAGTGTTTTAATACCTCAGATAGTAAAATTTAGTATTAAACTATGAAACATAATATCTGAAACAGGATGTCAAGATTTTCATTTATAAATTGTATCTCCTGAACAACACTGTCCTCTTTTGCATCTGTCCATCCTATATTTAAACTGTGTTGCCTCCATTTTAGCTCACAAAATAACACAACTGAACATTCTACTTGAGACTTTTTCAAATGGTAGAAACAGTATCTAGAGGAAGCAGATTTCTGTAAATTTTCTTTCTTTTCAATAAGCAGATGGCAACTTTATATTGGCAGATAATCTATTCTGGGAGAGCAGCTCAATCCTTCAGTGAATTTCAGTGTACCTATCGTTTTCTAAAACCACATGCCAATTAAAAAGACTGCTGTCTGTGAGCTTGTGCTACAACAAACCAATTTGTTTCTAAGGGGCCATTTTCTCACAGCCATAAATACTGCACTTCCAAAGCCAACTACACCAGAGCACAGAGTGCTGTCCTCTGAAGATGCCGGCCACAGAGACTGGCGAAACGTTAGGAAAAACAACCTTCAGAACACGGCCGAAGAGCCCAAAAAACCCACAACAACCATTTTCTTGCTGTTTCACACTAAGAGGAAACTACTCATAAGGAGTTGTAGTTTTAGAAGAGGTAGCCCTGTTCGCCTTTGCTAGCAAAAGCTCACATTAAAATATAACAGTCTTTAAAGTGCCACAATATTTTTGTCTTCTTTATTTTTTGTTTTTGCCTGATAGACTCATTAAAATTGCCTTTAGAAAAACATTAGAGAAAAATGATTTTTAAAAAAACTAGTGGGAGGGTCAAATGATAGCGGCTGGCACTGAACCTCAGGATCCAAAAATGACTGTAAAAGAATTATTATTCCATAGTTCTCCTGTAATATCACTTGAATATCCATCTGAAGACCCTTTAACACTGGTCACTATTGTGGATAGAGACAGCTTTAAATATCAGACAGGTATGTCCCAAATTGACTGTGAGTGTGTGTGCTTAGATGGCATTGTAAGTCTCAGAACTGCAGGAGCAAACAGTGTGCCATTGTATGCTTCCTTCTTGCTCCTGCATGCATCAGGAACACTTTATAAACAAAAAACGTCCAGTCTTCAGTTTGTTTTTTGTGAAGTCAGGTTCCAACAACAGTAGGCAGTCCTGACTTGTTTTTTTCTTTTTATGATTTCAGTGTGGGGCACACACTAGAGTGCTGGTTGCTGTCAGTTGTTTGGATGGTCAAGTAAACAAATAGTGGAATGAAGCAAGGTTAATTTAGCCATTCCTGCTGCTTCTTCGTTCATGTTAGAAGCATCATAGCACAATTAATAAACATATCCAATAATTTTTGCACAATAAAGTGCATCAAGAGCATTCTGGGAAGCTAACATCAAGTCTTCCATGGAACAGGTTGAAGGGCATAGAGTACAGGGATTTGATAAGCCAGTGTTCCTGTCGTTTCCTGGCTTACCATGGTGGCCAAATGCAGCTAGTTTGTCTTCATTAAAACAAGAGCAGAGTGATTTTGCAGATTCAGTAAGCCAACAAAATACATCATTCTATGTGAGAAGGGTTAAAGCTGTTCCCAAAGCTTAACTGTTTATCTTTATTTATAACTAAGGCCTCGTGTACATTAATAATTGCTGGTACAGGGAAATTCAAGTATCCAGGCTCTGCTCTAGTGGGTCTTTTGATTTGAGCAAAACTGCGAACAGCTTGTGTTTGCAGGCTGTAGTCAGACCCAATCAAAAAAAAAGGCTCGATCTTCTCAAAGCTTTGGTAAGAAAAACATAGGCAGATGGATTGGCTTGCAGAGTTTACTCTTGTCTTCTATTTAATGGCAAGCAGCAGATTGAAAAGATATGGAAGTAGCAAGACTGCGTTGGCTTGCACCATGTGTTAGGACGACTGAAGAAGAAATGCCAGAACTATGTGGTCACTGCAATAATCAGCAACAACATCAGACAGTAGCAAAGTTGAGTAGGTAGATTTGAACAATATTCACCTTTGTGTAACCATTCTCCAGCAGTGTCAGTATGCTCAGTCTGTTGGCCAAGATATATATATAAAAAACCATGAAGAGCAGAATACAGAATATGGTGATTGGGACATAGAAACATAGTCATGTTTCTGCAGCTAGGCCACAATGAAGAAGTGATGTTCATAGCCATGAATGTCTATGATATTCCATGTTGTTTGGGTGGGAGCAGTAAGAGAGACCAGGCAATCATTGACCAGATGCTGAAAAATTTTCACTAGAAACTTGGAGGCACCCAGACAATGATGGCAGCATCAGCAAAAGGAATGGAATTCAATGGTCAGCAATCCTACCTTGACAGAAATCTTCTTGCTGGTGCAACATTCTCACTTCAGTGCCATTGGGAGTGACCATATACAGTATATATGGTCACTCCCTTGTCACTTGCTACTTGACCATATTTTGTTGGGAATGCTTTCTTGTCACTTGCTTTGTTGTTGTTTAGTCGTTAAGTCATGTCCAACTCCTCATGACCTCATGGACCAGAACACGCCAGGTCCTCCTGTCTTCCACTGCCTCCCAGAGTTTGGTCAAATTCATTTTGGTAGCTTCGATGACACTGTCCATCCATCTCGTCCTCTGTCGTCCCCTTCTCCGCTTGCCTTCACACTTTCCCAACATCAGGGTCTTTTCCAGCGAGTCATCTCTTCTCACAAGATGGCCAAAGTATTGGAGTCTCAGTTTCAGGATCTGTCCTTCCAGTGAGCACTCAGGGTTGATTTCCTTCAGAATGGATAGGCTTGATCTCCTTGCAGTCCAGGGGACCCTCGAGAGCCTCCTCCAGCACCACAATTGAAAAGCGTCAATTCTTCAGCAGTCAGCCTTCTTTATGGTCCAACTCTCACTTCCATACATCACTACTGGAAAAACCATAGCTTTGACTATGCGGACCTTTGTCAGCAAGGTGATGTCTCTTCTTTTTAAGATGTTGTTTAGGTTTGTCATCGCTTTCCTCCCAAGAAGCCGGCGTCTTTTAATTTCGTGGCTGCTGTCGCCATCTGCAGCGATCATGGAGCCCAAGGAAGTAAAATCTGTTACTGCCTCCATATCTCCCCCTTCTATTTGCTAGAAGGTGATGGGGCCAGTGACCATGATAAGTTTTTTTTATGTTGAGCTCCAGACCATTTTTTGCACTCTCCTCTTTCACCCTCATTAAGAGATTCTTTAATTCCTCATCTTTTTCTGCCATCAGAGTGGTATCATCTGCATATTGGAGGTTGTTGATATTTCTTTCGGCAATCTTAATTCCGGTTTGGGATTCCTCCAGTCCATCCATTCATATGATGTATTCAGCATATAAATTAATAAGCAAGGAGACAGTATACAACTTTGTCGTACTCCTTTCCCAATTTTGAACCAATCAGTTGTTTCATATCGAGTTCTACCTGCTAATTCTTGTCCCACATATAGATTTCTCAGGAGATAGATAAGGTGCACTCCTATTTCTTTAGGAACTTGCCATAGTTTGTAGTGGTCGACACAGTCAAAGGCTTCTGAAGCAGAAGTAGATGTTTTTCTGGAACTCCCTGGCTTTTTCCATAATCCAGTGCATGTTAGCAATTTGGTCTCTAGTTCCTCTTCCCCTTCGAAATCCAGCTTGTACTTCTGGGAGTTCTTGGTCCACATACTGCTGAAGCCTACCTTGTAGGATTTTGAGCATAACCTTGCTAGTGTGTGAAATGAACGCAACTGTACGGTAGTTGGAGCATTCTCTGCCACTGCCCTTCTTTGGAATTGGGATGTAGACTGATCTTTTTCCAATCCTCTGGCCACTGCTGAGTTTTCCAAAACTTGCTCTCATATTGAGTGTAGCACCTTAACAACATCATCTTTTAAGATTTTAAATAGTTCAACTGGAATGCCATCACCTCCACTGGCCCACTTGACTTTGCTCTCCAGGATGTCTGGCTCAAGCTCAGCAACCACACTATCTGGGTTGTCCGGGACATCTAGATCTTTCTGGTATAATTCCTCTGTGTATTCTTGCCACCTCTTCTTGATGTCTTCTGCTTCTGTAAGGTCCCTACCATTTTTGTCCTTTATCATGTCCATCTTTGCACAAAAGGTTCCTTTAATATCTGCATATTTCTTGAACAGATCTCTGGTTTTTCCCTTTCTATTATTTTCCTCTATATCTTTGCACTGTTCATTTAAGAAGACCCTCTTGTCTCTCCTTGCTATCCTTTGGAAGTCTGCATTCAATTTTCTGTAACTTTCCTAGGTTTTCTGTGGGCATTCTCCCCCCACCCCAAAGAGTCAGCTCAGCACTCTCACTCCCCACTGGACTGTTCTGTACAAGCCCCCAGTTTACATGCCCTTCTATTACCGGTTTCATGAAGACTCTGTCAAGGAAAAATTATAGGCCTGACCAGAATGAAGTGATATAATGAGAAGCCATAACTGTCAGGTGTGCTGAAACTGAGTCAGAGTGACTCAGCAGAGATAATGTAAACAGGCTGATACAACCCAGAGATGAAGTAATGGGATGATGTAATCTGTAACCTGATTGGTTGTGTGTATGTATATATGTAGAGCTGTACAGTTAGTTATATCTTCACCTGCTTGAAGATCACATCTGCCTGCCATGCTGCCAGACTGCTGTATATATTGATGTAAATACACTATGCTGAAAGAAATGCTGCTGGACTGTGTGTGAATTATTAATGGAGTGCCTGAACCTCCATATACTCTGCTGATAATCCGTGATTTCCGCTGAGAAACCTGACAGACTCTTGCAGTCTTTTTAACTTTTATCTAAATGAACTTAAAATCTCCTTGACATTTTCTGGTTGAACCACTTCTGTGCTGCTTCAATTTCCAGCACTTAACAATCAAAGCCAGCTGTCAGGGAAAAGATCACACATACCTTAAGCATCTCCCTGTGCCAATTGCTCTCTGTTTTAGGAGAGAATTGTGAGAGACTGGGGCGAGATAAGTCATTCTTCCAATTAACTCTGTGATAGTCACAAATATGACACTGGTTTTAATTTCACTCTAAGCACATTGGTGAAATCCATACCAAACAGAATGGGTCCTGATGGTGCTCTTGTTGCAGATTTGTAAATTTTTGGTTAAATTCCTTTAGTTGCGCAATGGAAGTTCAGTGATTAACAGAGCAAAATAGCTTAAAGTTCCCCAGAGCAGTCCGCCCCTTTTCTCATTAACTGACATTTACAGTCTCAATAACTCAGTTTGAGACATCAGTAGTAGAAAGAATAAAAACAATTCATTCATTCATTCATTTATTTAAAATATTTGTATCCCACCTTAAAAGGACCCAAACATACAGTTGTGAACAGATCAAACAGCATACTGACAAACATGGCTCCTTTCAGCAACAGACTTCAATAGACTAAAGAAAGGGAAAGAAACACAGAGCAGAGTGACGAGGCTCTCTTTCAACTCAGAGGCAGTAGGGACCTATTGGTTAGTGCTGGATAGCTTGACAATCATCCCAGCCCAGAAATCCTGCTCAAGGCAGTATGCAAGATTGCAAAAACCCCAGCAGTCCCCAACTCAGCCATAACAACCAGCAGGAAGCAGGTATATCATGTGGTATTTGCTTTATCTGCAGCACACAAGCTTAGCTTTGTTTCTAAGTTTTGTGTTTTCTTTGTACCTTGAAGACAATTAGTTGGATATTTTCTGAAGAACTGTAGGAAGTAATCTGAAATGTTTGCTGGAAGATTGAACTTTTCATGCCTGAAATGACTGTGAACATATCAGCCACTTAAAGCATCTAGCATATGGCACAATATGGCTTGGAAGCTATTGTACCTTAGCATATCTTATCTACCCACCTTCCTTATGCTTTTTATTGAAATTATAATGACTTGCATTCCTTTAATTACATGAAAACAGATAAATGGATATTCTAAAAAGATATAATTAACTAGGAGTATCTATACTTATACATATACATAGTATTGCTGTTATCTCTTGAGGCTTTTATACTCTGCAATGTCCCCTAATTGCATCAATTACCATGCTAAATTTTAGGTAAGAAAAGTTATTAGATTTCATACTGGTAAAAATCATGACCTATCATCCAGTGCCATTCTTGAGTTTTTACTTCCCTGAACCATTCCACAAACTCTGGACGGTCTTTCCCCCTATTTCTTGAAACCCCAGTATACTCTCAGCCATTCTGAAAGAGATTCAAACCATTACATTTCAGCCCTGAAAACAAACTGTTGGGTTTGATAACATAGTTTATTGGGGAAATTATTATAAAGATTTGTTCGTTCATTCGTTGAGTCGTTTAGTCGTGTCCGACTCTTCTTGACCCCATGGACCAGAGCACGCCAGGCCCGCCTATCTTCCACTGCCTCCCGGAGTTGTGTCAAATTCATGATGGTTGCTTCGCAGACACATTATAAAGATTAGACTTGTTTTAATTAGGAAGGGAATGCCAATTTTTTTTTCTGAATTCTTACATCTTTATTTTCAAGATGCTTTCAGAGGTTGCCTATCCCTGGGACCACTTGGTACCTTTAGTGGCCCTAAAGTAGTAAACGCTTAGTTATTAATCATGTTTGCAAAGATTTAGTATGATTCTATTTTTACTGCTGCTTCACTACCATTCTTTGTTTATGTTGTGAAGATCAGGGAGAAAACAGCTAAAGATTATAATAGTTGACATCAGTAGAATCTCTCACCTTTTATATTTTTTTCTCCCTGACCTTCATGCCTTTAAAAGAGCAAAAGTTGAAACAGCAATGATAATGTCAAAAAATATTAGAAAATACATTTTGCACCCTTGTTTCATCTTTTCTTAGTCACCACTGTTGTCTAGTTTTCTACTCTTATTTTGTGTATTTTGAAAGACCTGTTAATGGACAGCTGCTCTGCAGGCTGACCACCAGAAGAAAGGCAGCAAATAATGTATATTAAATAATACCCAAATAAATACTCTAAGGGTCTGAGGAAGTGGACTTGTCCACAAAAGCGCACATTAAAATACTGAGTTAGTCTTTAAGGTGCCACAGTTTTTTTTTTCCTTTTGTTTTTGCCTGGTATGTCTCGAAGTAGACACTCTCCATATATTTTGGGTTACTGCTGCTATCATCAGTTAGTCTTTAAGATGCCACAGTATTTTTTCTTTTTCCTTTTGTTTTTGCCTGATATGTCTCTAAGTAGACACTCTCCATATGTTTTGGGTTACTGCTGCTATCATCCCCAGCCAGCGCAATTGGTGGTGCTTCCCTGGGGATGATGGGAGTTGTAGTCAGACTGATCTGGAGGCTGCACAGCTGGACAAGACTATTTCTGGGTTTGCATCCATAAGAACACTAGTGAAGAGCAGGATGTCCTCTGGACAATGAGAGTAGTTTCATTTAAAAAGCAAAATGGAGTGATAGCCTGGCTGGTTCATAAGAGAGACAGAAGAGAGACACATCGTACATCTACAGTTGGTTAATATCTTTTGCAGTATTTTGGCCAACTGTGGTTTGGAAATTTTTCTTCCTTTTCTCATTAATGGCTTTGTATTATATCTCTCTGCCTGCTGAGTGTTATCCCATCTACTTTGCTGACAAGTATGGATTGCTTCCTGCTTTTAAGTGACTTGACCCATAAGTATAGATATTGAGAGAACTGTCTGAGGATGAAGCATGCTGAGGCATACTACAGGGCTTCTCTTGTTAATTGTATTTTGCCCTGATTGGGTCCCTGTAACTCATCTCATCTCATGTTCTGTTTTTCTTCTTTGTAGAATATTGATCAGACACTTTAAAAGAGAGTTTCTGTGGAGATCTTCCATAAGAATGGATACTTTTCCAATATAGCTTTTCCAGGGTTGCCCATTTCTCTATTGTGGAAGAGGAGTAAGTTTATGACCTTTCAGTGGGAGGATTATCCTCTGAAGCTATTGTGCTGATGGATATGAAGTTGAGGATTCCTAAAAAGTTGTTTGGAAAGAAACAGCACCACATACCATGTGTGCCCTTACCATTCATGGTGTATGCAGGCGATCATTTGGAGGGTAGCAATGTGAATGGTAGCAGTATTAATTCTCATCCTGTAACTATGATCGCTATTCAAACGTAAAGGGGGATTTTGCTACACGAGGAAGAGAGGGTTAAAACTTATTTCATGTACCTGTACAGTATTTTAAACAGCATTAAAAGCATGACTGAAGGTAAGCACCCTTTGCTAAATGAATGAATTAATGAAGTTATACGTTGTGTTAATCTTTTGTTTAAGAACTATTTTTTTAGAGTTCATTCAAAGGAATTATCAATTCCATCCTTGTTAAGCCTCTGCAATGCTTAATTATTTTTTGTGAACTGGTGGCTGCTCAAAATCACTGAGAATCTAAATCTTATTGTCTTTCATGGGGAGTACAAGAAACTCTGAAAGCTATTATTTTGCAGTTTGCAGCTAGTAAGTGTTTTGAAGTTAACCTGGCAGACCTGCAATGTATGATTTTATTTATGCAGGCCATGAAGAGGAACCAATACAGTTCAAAGGCAGTGCAATTTGTCTAGGTCTCGTTTACATAAACTGTGGTTAACATAGACACCTGTCTACAAACAGGTAATACAGAAACACTATGGTAAGTCTCCATTACTTTCTCATCAAAGGCAAACTTAATGTCACCACTGATTTCTCAGCACTGAAAACACTTTAAAAAATTAAAGCTGCTGATGAATGATATATTTTTACCAGTGATGCTGAAGGCACCATCCAATAGCTTTACTTGGTAGGCTAACATCAACAGCTAATGGAGCACAGATTGCAGACTTCAAATGGTAACTTCTACTGCAATTCAGAAGCCTGGAGGATTCACCAGTGATAGCTGCAAAGGAAGAAGCTGCATGTTGCACAGAACAAGAACACATTTGCACCACCAAAACTGTATTGTCTCTACAAGTGGAGTTTTCATTAAAGATTCCCCTTGTTGGCATTTTCAGTCAGCAGATTACAATTTTTTTTATTGTGGAATTAAAAACAGAAGATAGTCTGCAGCATGTCTTGTCTAGGATAATGGAGACATAAGCATCTTTTTTTTTCTTTGAGCATTCCAAGTTTATTATTAGGTACCCGAAAAGAAAGTTGAACAAAGAACAAAGGGATTGTACCCAGGCGTCCTTTCAGAACAGTTCTTTTACTGAATCCATCTTCTAGCAGGCTCTTGCCTAAACAATAATGGTGCTGCTGAAATGATAACAAATGCACAACTGGCACACAGGTTTATTGAGTTGTTCAGTAAGTTTTGTAGTCTGAGGAACACACTGTAATGAAGAATGCCCATCAGAACAAGCTGCAAGCTGCCTGTAGCAAGAAGAAAGTGGACTAACAGCTGAAACTCATATAATTCCAAAGCAGCCTTTACAAGCAAATAATTTGGCTCCTGTATGAATGCATCCTCAATATTTCTTCCTACTTGTCAAGAGAAAAAAAAGCCTGAAAACTTCAAAGTGGAGCTCTTTACAGCAGGGCTGCAATGTTACAGATATTTAAGCCATGATACCCTAAAGAAATAGACTTTGTCAGATACAGAAGCTAAGCAGTGTTAGACCTGATCATTTTTGGGATGGGAAACCACCAGGGAATACCTGAAATCTTTAGGTAGCACAAGGAAAGAATCCTGCTTGAAACTCAAGGAAGCTGTTGCTAGTCTGGGAAAATACCAGCAGGGGGCCCAGTGGTCTGACTCAGTACAGTATAAGGCATTTCCCTATGTTCCTGTCCCCTCTTATATTTTGGCCCAAATCAAAATTCCACCTCCCCTGGGTGTATGGTTCTCTTGCTACTGAGTACTGTATAACAGAAACTTAAGAGACTCATTATGGTTCCAAACATTTTACAGAAAAGATCTCGTGTGCTTTCCACCTAGTATTGTTGCAGTAAAAACTCTCATTCACATTTGCTACATACTTGATCCAGTTTATAGAAGCTGTTTTTGATAGGAGGAGTAACAGAGTGTATGTGTTTTAATTGGTACTTCCAAAGCCCAGTCCAGTTGTACCCGCAAGAGCATAAGGTGCCTGCTGGGCAGAGGTCATGCTCCCATGTCTTCTGCTGATGTAGTATCAGTCTCTGGTGGCAGGAGAGAAACTCTCCCAGGTCTCGTTCTGGCCTCCTGCAATTGTGTATTATTTTATCTATTGAAATGCTGAAATAAAAATCTTTTTGCTGAAGTGTTCTGTTTGTTGATGTTCTGCTGTAGAGCAACTATCTTGAGAGTGGCCCAAGTGGTGGGACTGGCATATATTGGAGAAATAGCATGGCAGGAAGTTTAGAAGTCTCTTTCCATAGCAACTGTAATCAAATTCAGACTCCCCTTTGATTGCTTTTAGGTATACAGTAAATAAAAAACATTGGCGATCTGACCATGGCTTTTTTAATTTGTATTTTTATCTTACTTGGCAGCAGAAAATAAGCATTGCAGAAACAATTTGTGACGGAATAAATGCAGGAGTTGCATTCTGTTCATGGAACAGGTCACTCTGGGGTCTTGGCCTGTGGAGTTTTAAGGGATGCTCTGGAAGTATAGGAAATAGTGGTGGCTGGAGCTGCAGGAAAAACCAGTGAAATGGTATCCCCACACTATCATATTTCTATTCACCATGAATCGATGGGAAAACTGGAGGAGAAAATAGGCTGACAGGAAAAAAAATTGATTAATTGAAAATATGGTGCTGCAGGGAAGTTTTGCAGATACCCTGAACTGCCAGAAAGACGAACAAGTGGGCCCTAGAACAAATAAAGCCCAAACTACCTCTGGAGGCAAAAAATGTTGAAACTGAAATCTGACCTACTTTGGGCACATCATGAGAAGGCAGGATTTTCTGGAAAAGACCGTGATGCTGGGAAAGGTGGAAGGCAGCAAGAAAAGAGGAAGACCCATAACAGATGGGTTGCACCCCTAAAGGAAGCCAGAGGCTTGAGATTGCAAGAGCGGAGCACAGCTGTTGAGGGCAGGACATGTTGGCGAGCACTCATTCATAGGGTCACCATAAGTCAGAGGTGACTTGACGGCACATAAGAACAACAACATTTGTGCAGGGAACTCCCTTGGTCTAAGTTGCTGATACCACTTGTTGTGGAGAACACAGCCAGTGGGTAGGGGCTTCTCTGCTTTCTCAGTGTGAAAGCAGAGTGCCTATGAAACTTGAGGATTTGGATCTTTTCCTGAGGCTTATGTGCTCCTGGCTATTTAATGGCTTGTTGATTCTTGGGGAGGGAATAAACAGATAAAAGAGAGCAGTTAGGGAACTATTTCATCATATTTGAAGCTAAGCAGCTTCTTTTCCTGCCCTTCACAACCGGTCTCTGGTGTTTATCCTGGACTCAGTGATTATTTCCTCCCCTACACTGATTTAAAGCCCTTCTCCTGAGAAGGGGAGCTACATGCATTCATTGCAGTCATTTAGCCCATAGAGCTGTATGGCCTTTCCTTCATTCCCTTTTTACTCCACAATGCTGTTTGTGCACAGTATAGATGGATTTCAGCCCCTACCTAGAGACTGACAGTGGCAAGGTTGTCATTGCATAAGATGCAGTTGTTTTGTAATGAGAGGTGTGTACTTAACTGCGGTTGGTCCACCAATTCCCTCTCACAAACTCTATTTCTAGTGTTGAAAGGGATACATGGGTGGGGGATTCTCTTGTCATCTTTATGCCGTTTTGAGATTTTATGGGTTGTGTATGAGTACATATAAGAAATCAATATGTTTCTTTTTGTTCCACCAAAACAAAACTGTATGCATTGTCTTGCTGGGCCTTACTTCTACCCTAGCATTTGTATACAGAACATGCTTTTATTTATACTGTATACCCAAAACTTTTAACTGCCACAACGATGGCTAATAAGTCATATATAATCCAATTCAGAGCTGAGAGTTTGAAACATTTTAAATCAGCTTTTAAAAACTAGATGAACTGTCCAGGCCACACATAGATCTTGTTCTTTTAAATCAAGCTTTCTTGCTTCAGCAAGGAATGGTGACAATAGACAAATATTCATATTAAGGACAGGGAATTCAGAGATATGACAGGAATTGTGAAGTTGTGTATAGCAGTTTGCAATTAAATATAATGAGGAGCTATTAAGTATCTTTTAACTCTGCAATCTTTTTGAGCCTTCTTTTAATTTTTCATTTGTTTGCACTTCTAAAGGTGTATTTTCTTATTTACACATCAAGCAAATATAAAAATTTGCACAAAAAAGATAATGAGTCCTAGCCACATGTTCAGCCTGTGCAGCCTGTCCTTCCAGCATAAAACCCTGAAACACATAGGTTTCAATCAAACAGAGCCAATGGTTCTAAACCTCCTTGCAGTAAGAAAGCATCCAAAACATATTAAACGGTCTCTCTTATCCCACAGATTCTCCTGCCTCTCCACAACAGTAGCACATAACTTTTATTGCCAGTAATCCCCCCCTTATTCCTCCATTCATATTTTGTCACATTAGAAATTTTGTACTATTCCTAGAAGTGTGTTGGTTACCTACCAAAATTATAAAAATAGTACAGCAGTACTTGTTAAGTCACAGGAAATAAATAGATATAGGATAGTAGCTTTTATGGGACTCTCTTTTGACAATTATGCTGAAGAAACTGCAGTTTTTAATATTTATTGTTCAAATGTTAATTAGTGGAGACTTCAATCTCTCTCCATGTCACACAAAATTCTAGAGCTGTTGAATCAATTACACTTTGGCAGATAACTAGCAGCTTCAAAAATCCATAAATACTAGAACGGGGAGAAGGATTGCATATACAGTACATGTCTTCTACTGTTCTCCTCCTTTTGGCAGAAAATACTAGTATACATGACCAGTTCATAGGATTTGTGATCCTATCCCACTTGCAGAGAGCAGGATAGATTGTGAGGCACCACAAGAGACCCACAACCCACACAGCCAGTTGTCCCGAAAGGAATTCCACTGCCGAAGAGTTCGTTCTGTTCAGACATGGGGCTGCTTCTTACGATGCCTCCTGCCTGCCTGAGCTCCGCGCTGGGCTCCCTTCATCAGGCCCTTGTACTGTCCCTGAAGCTTGGCCTTTTTCCTGTCAGAAACAGGGGGAGAAAATTAGAACCAACAGTGCCTCCAAGAGAACTGAAAATGTAAGGGCTACCACAGATGCACCCGGGTATCAAAGTACAACAGGAAGTGTAGTTAACAGAGAACGCTCCAAATCTCAAGACTGTCTAAAGCAGAGGATGCTTGAAGGTAGACAGCATTCCTGCAGCTGGTAAGCACATCTCCAGAAGGAAATTGGGGCCGATCAATGGCATTACTGACACAACTGTTTCTCTGCACATGCTCCCCACCCAATTAGAGAACCATAGTAAATGGTGGAGAATGTGATTTACAATGCAGAAGTTCACAAGATTAATCTCTGCTATCTCCAATGTGAGGTAACAGGAAAACAGCAATGGGCTAAGCTCTCCTGCTGCTTGCAGCTTCATCATGGCCCTCCTCTTTGCAAAAAGTGGCCAATATGTTCTGAAAGTGTCAGTGCTTCTGGCTCTGCTTAAACACTTTCAGCAACTGGCATATCCGCAAAGAGGGCAGACAGAGAGCTGTGAAATCAGTGAGCAGTGGCTGCCCTACATGTAAATAATAGCAATCAGAGCAAGAGGAGAGGATGGCAGCAAGGTCAGGCATGAAGGCGGCCTAAAGAGGTTGGTGAGGGTCACAGTAACAGCAGAGACCTTTGCAAGGTTGGGAAATGCCAAAGTTTGCCACTTGTAACATCCCACCACCTGAAGCAGCCATCTCACTATACTTAATGGTGAAACCACCCTGTAAAAGAGCCACTGCCAGACAGAGTAGAATCTGAGCTGCTATAGGCAGCTTCCTATGCAGTCCCCACACCATCCCTGTCTCATACCTCCTGTTAAGTTTCGCTCTGTTCAGTGGGATGTAAGCATAAGGATCCAGACGTCCTTTCTTCTTGATATCACCTTTTCCTTTCTGTGGAATAGAAGGGTACCAATGCTTAGTGGCAGATGAACAGACCCTCACCACCCTCCCAAAAACCTTTTCCTTTCTGTGGAATAGAAGGGTATGTGGCAGATGAACAGACCCTCGCCACCCTCCCAAACGGTTTCCAGCACCAGTTATTCAAGAAGGTATAACCTTCATTAGTGTTTTGGGAACTTAGAACATATACTTAGTACCAGACTCACTGTGGACCATAGGAGTGACTTAGGAAATTCATTTTATTATGAAACAGAACTGTATTTTCCAAAAGGCGCTTGCCTGCAGCCATAGCGTAAGGATGATGAACTCTGCACTATGGAATACTGTATTAGGGTACATAAAAATACAACTGTAAGTCTGGGATGGGAATTGTGGCCTTTGGGCTGGCCTTTATCCATGCAGACTCTTGGCTCAGGTGCTGGCTTCTCTACTGCCTGGCTTACCTGTTCTCATCCTTCCTCGGATATGAAAGAAGGAAGATGTACTACTAGTAGCCACCAGCTTGACGTTGGTGGCTTTTGAAGCTTACTTCCTTCTTTCAGAACTGCCACTTCAAAGGATGTGAAGTAGATCTGAATAAAAGGGAAGGGGACAGGAGGCTCTGACCGATCTAACACTAGCATGTGGCACTTGAACCATTGCCCCATCACCTAAGATATGTGGATCTTTCTGAGGCCGGGGGGGGGGGGAGGAGATGCTCCATCCCTGCTCACAAATAGCTTTTTGGAAGGAGACAGAGACTCTTTCCAATAAGTTGTTGAATTTTTTGAAGGTATGTTAAGCCCAGAAGGCAATGTTTCAAACTGTATAAAAGCTAATGGGTTCACACACAATCAGACTGTTGTAATGGCTAACTATCATGAGACCTAACTAGTCATGAGGAATTAGCTTACCTTTCCCTTGTACTCTAGCCCAGGTACAGCATTTTTGCCAACAGGCCGATGGATTCCAGTGCCTCCAGCTTAAAAAAAAAGCAGAGCGAAGAGGAAACAAATAAGTTTATTTTTGTTTGTTTTTTAATGAAAGAATTTACTTATTCCTCTAAACTGTGGAGCAAGCAAGTAGCCAACAGTCCTGGATTTGGGGCCAGTCCCCATGTAAAGACATCTTACTCCCCCAGGCTAATATACTGCCAAATTGTTGAACTGTATCCCATAGAAGCATCACAGTGATGTGATGTGTTAATGATGAAGCAGGATCCAAGCAAGGCATCACACTGGAACGTCTTCAACTGGTCGTTTTATGATAAATACAACACATGGATTGGCCTTCAGAGAGGCTTCATCTTTGAATCACCACTTCATGTTATTTCCCCTGCCCGTTCCATGGGCATGAACCCACTGCAATGAGTCCCGTGTGGACTGCACCAGCCACCAAGGAATGCACATCTACCTTTGTATTGTGGTTGTGTCCCAGTGCCAGGGTCCTCATCATCCGGGTCCTCTCGGAATCGACGCTTTTGGGCTTTCTTCTGCAAGAGACATTTTAGTATCTCAGCCCAAGCCATTATAGGGTAAATAGGTGTAGTAGGTTTCTCAAAAGGGTTCATAGCGCTCCCACTTTTAACCTGCTCAGCAATGACTGCCATATTTGACAATCAAGCTCAATGGTATCTGAATGCAAAACTTCCTCCACATTGAAAAAGGATTTCAAAAACTTGATTCAATCCCGCCCCCTTTCCCATGTCTCACTACTTACACTCCGAATTCCAACTTCTTGCATTAGATCTGCCATTTCCTCGTCCACATCTGTGGCAGAAAACACAACAGATATCAGATACAGCACCAAAGCACCCAAGGCCAGAGTACAATTAATTCACGGGCAAAATGAGCCAATGGAAGGGGCAAGTAGGCAGGAAAAATAGATTGTATCTAAAATAAAACACATATTGGATTTTAATTTCTGGGGTTTTAATATAAACTTTATAGATGTAAAAAAAAACACCCTTCAACTTTTCTAAATCTGAATTAGCTTTCTCACTGCAGCCCTTTCTGCTTAAGTCACTTCTGTTGTTTGTGTAGCCTGCATTGATGGGCCTGGGGTGATAGCATGCAATGCAAGCAATTTTTGGCCGAATGTAATTTAGTGGCCACCTGGTGTATGTTAGTAGTCAGGTTCCCAATCCCAAATTCAAACTGCATCCTGCACATACTCATTAAGTGACAGTAGAAAGGCCATAATCTGTTAGCCTTTCTCTGTTGCAATATAGGGATAAACATTGGCTTGCTGCTAGTATTGAAGGAGTGCTGACACTGTGAGCTTCTCTGATTATTCTGTGTTTAGAAGTGATACTTAGAATGCATCTGCCTTCTTAGGGAAGCACAGCTTTTTTCAAGCATAGTACTTTGTCTCTGGAACTTGGGACTCAACTTCACTGCATTTAGGCAACAAGTGAAGATGCTTTTATTTTATTGTTACCTTAATGTCAACTAGATAGCAAGATCAGAATTCTGTTGAGAAAAAACTGTATGTGCAAGGCCCTGCTTTTGTAATCAGTACACAACTAATCACAACGAGGCTAGCTGGCTGGAGGGGCAAAAACACCTGTACGATTGCTCTTTTGCTCCCTGATTCCTCAACAGGCCTGAAACTGTTTCACTTTCTATTGTTGTTTAAGTGCGTGATTTAAATTTGTTTTTAAATACTGTTTGCCACCTTAACTGTCATCAAATGATAGCCTGGCCAGAAATATTGTGACAATGAAAGTCACTGGGATAATGTATGTGTATTAAGCTGGAACCCTCAAGGTACTATATAAATATTATAATTAGATTTAGAAGATTCAAAAATTTATTATCTAGTTACCTATGCTAACCAGTAAAAGCATAATCACAAACTAAACACAAGGCAGAAGGAGGACAATATGGAGATGGGTTCTTTTTGGTTCTGTCACCTTGCACTCACTGAGGGAAAGCACATTCAATTCTAACAGTTCCAACTAAATTGGATGAAATACAAGGATAAAGGGAGACAAAAAAAGATGGAGCAAGAAAGAGAATGAAGCAAATAATAGACTCTTCTTTTCTTTATGGGATTTAATGTGAAATGTGAAGAAAGCTGAATGTTGCACTTCCACTGCTAGACAAATGCTCAGTTTGTCTAACTTTTTACAAACTGAACCTATACATTTTAAATCAGAAACTAATATCTCTGAGTTCAAGAGTTTACTGTTATGTATTCATCAGGCTACTTAAATCCAGTGTCATATACTGTACTGTATGTATATGCAACAGGCGGTATCTGGGTTGGTAAATGCACAAGCCTCTAGTTACATTGTTACAGTGGAACTGGATTTCACAGATGGGAACTTGAAAGGACTTGATGCCTCCTGTCAGATGTCACAAATATTTCGACGGACTGTATTAGGGCCAACCACTGGTACCTTTAGTTCCTTCCTCCTCTTCCTCTTCCTCTTCTTCACATATGATGAGACGACCATCAGCGGATACCTTGAAGTCATGGCTCACTTTCCCAGCTATGGCAGAACCTGGCTTGGTTGCTGCACAAAAGAAGAGCACAAAAAGCTTACAAGGAAGGAAGGCACCTCTTCTGCCATGAGTAAATCTCTCAGCTTCCCCAATCTGAAAGGGCAAAAATCTGACTCCGCATCACCATTTATCTGAATGCCACCTCCCGTCTGCTTCGTACCTAGAACCCTCTGTGTCACGTTAGGGTCCAAGAAATTGAGGGGCTCGTCACTTTCTCCTTCTTTGAGCCAGGCTTGGTTCCGCTGCCGTAGCACCTTCTTTGTCTCTCTTCCTTTGCGCTGCTTGACGTCATCTTCCATGTCAGAGTCTGAGTCTGCCAGCACCTCTTCCATGCTGCAAGCAAGAAACCAGGAGGCAATGAAAAGGGTACCTACTGAGCCCATGGGTTCACGTCTGCTTGTAAAGTGACATTTTAGCTTCAAAAAACATGTTTCAGCCTTTGGTTTGGCAAGACATCAATGGTCTGAGCCTGCAACATATTCACACCTAACAATGTAACAAATACTCACACATTTTCTCCTCTTCAATGACAAAGTCTCAACACGCTGAGCACACCGTTGAAAAAATGGTCAATCATTGCAAGATATTTTTTACTTCCACACAAGAGCAAAGGCTTTAGTGGAAAAAAATGTTTTTAACAAAACTATGGGCTTTCCACAAAAACCATTCTTACTTTTGGGGAAAAAAACCCCCAAAACTCCCCACTATAGGAAAAATTGCACAAACACTCCTAAGACGTCATTTAGCAGGAAGAACACTTTTAAAAATATGCCCTGTTCATACCTGTCTCCCTTGGGTTGCACTGAGGCTACTTCCTCTTCTGCAGAAGTGGTTGCTGCTCGTTTCAAAGCCTGCCGCTTGCGATTCCTTGCTTCAGCTTTGCGAATGTTTAGCAGCACTTTGTGGTATGACTCAGGAAGCAAAGCCTTCAAAGGCTCAAAGCTGTGAGATGACAGAGAAAGATCAGTGGTGGGGAAAACAGCTTATCTCCCATCTTCCACTCCTGATCATGCAAGTCAAACAGGCATCAAAACCCCACTGCTTAAAATTCAGAGGACCAAGAGCGAGATTCAGTGTTGTGCTGGCACTGCAGTGGCACCACAATGGAACATTCTTCTCCTATTTATTCCCACTAGTTAATCTGTATCTTTGAAGTGGTAAAATCTGCATGCCTAGATTTTTATGAGGAAACAAGAATTTGAGAATCTTTTGAGTATATAAAATGAAATCTAGCTTCAAAGGATATAGCATTAATGTTTGCTTGCCTATGGAAAATCTTGTATGTATTGTCTTAAGCTAGCCTCTTAAACAAATGCAGCTTCCTTAAAGCTGACTGGCTACTGCCTTAAAAGGCATCTCATTCCTCCCGTATTTTAAATAGGCATGTCTTCTTTCATTGCAGAGACTCATGGAAGTTTGAAAACCAGAACCTGGTGCTCACAAAGACAATGATAAAGTAATGGATAGAGGCAAGACTCCTGTGGTTTCAGAAAGCCTCCAAGATCGCAAAGAACTCTGAAGCACTTAGTCCAAGGAAGTAGGATTTGATAAAGAATGGACCAGACTCAGTTAAAAACTGGACAGGTAAGCTCTTCTAAATAAACATTTCTATGAAATGTAATGCTGTTCCTTTGTTGGCAAATTAAAAGGATAGAGAAAAGAAACAGAACTGATTCCTAACCTCGTACTAGGTTAGGGACATCCTTCAAATACAGCAACAGTGAACATGTCCCAGATGGTGCCAGGCTGATCATCCCCATCCCACTCAATGTGCAAGAATGGAGAGAAGGACAAAAATGTAAATAAATAAGGCCTAGCTGCCAAGGCCAAAGATGCTCAGCTGCGGATCTGCATGGAAGTGAAAGGAAAGTCCGACGCTGCAAATAAAAATACTGCATAGGAACCTGGAATACAAGATCTATGAACCTTGGTAACCTTGGTAAGCAGGAATAAACATTGACATCCTGGGCAACGATACAAGATCTATGAACCTTGGTAACCTTGATAAGCAAGAATAAACATTGACATCCTGGGTGTCAGTGAACTAAAATGGATGGGAATGGGCGAATTCAATTCAGACGATTATCATATCTACTACTGTAGGCAAGAATCCCGTTGAAGAAATGCAGTAGCCCTCATAGTCAATAAAAGAGTGGGAAAAGCTGAACTGGCATACAGTCAACAAAAGAGTGGGAAAAGCTGAACTGGTATACAATCTCAACAATGGTTGTTCTGGGTTTTTCGGGCTCTTTGGCCGTGTTCTGAAGGTTGTTCTTCCTAACGTTTCGCCAGTCTCTGTGGCCAGCATCTTCAGAGGCCAGCAACATTGTACAGGAGCAGAAACAAAAACCATCCCAAAGAAAAGGAAACACAGTGATGCCTCACTTAATGATTACTTTGTTAAACGACGAATCTGCTTGACTATTAGGTTTTTGCGATCACTTTTGCGATCGCAAAACGATGTTTCAATGGGAAAAAAACCGCTTTACGATCATCAGTTCCCTGCTTCGGGAAGTGGTTTTTTGCTTTACCACGATCAGAAAACAGCTGATCGCCGGGTTTCAAAATGGCTGCTCGCTGTGCAAAATGACTCCCCGCTGCGTTAGGGACAGATTCTTTAATTTACAGGCACCTGAAAATGGCCACCCTATGGAGGATCTTTGCTGGATGAGCAGGTATTTCGTGCATTGGAACGCATTGAACGGTTTTCAATGCATTTCAATGGGTTCTTTCATTTCGCTTGACGACGATTTAGCTCTACAGCGATTTTGCTGTAACGGATTAATGTCATCAAGCTAGGCACCACTGTACAAGAAAGCAAAGTGACTGTCCAACAAGGCTTTACAAACAGCAGAGAAGGGAAACAAAATGCAAGGGAGATAGGTAAAGTCACAGAAAATTGAATGCAGACTTCCAAAGATATTGAGGAAAATAACAGAAAGGGAAAAACAAGAGATCTGTTCAAGAAAATTGGGGGTATTAAAGGAACCTTTATAAAGGACAAAAATGGTAGGGACCTAAGAGAAGCAGAAGACATCAAGAAGATGTGGCAAGAATACACAGAGGAATTATACCAGAAAGATCTGGATGTCGCAGATAACCCAGATAGTGCAGTTGCTGACCTTCAGCCAGACATCCTGGAGAGTGGAGTCAAGAAGGCCTTAGAAAGCACGACAAACAACAAGGCCAGTGGAGGTGCTGGCATTCCAATTGAATGATTTAAAATCTTAAAAGATGACGCTGTTAAGGTGCTACTCAATATGCCAGCAAGTTTGGAAAACTCAGCATTGGCCAGTGGAATGGAAAAGATTAGTCTACATCCCAATCCCAAAGAAGGGCAGTGCCAAAGAATGCTCCAACTACCATACAATTGCACTCATTTCACACGCTAGCACGGTTATGCTCAAGATCCCCCAAGGTAGGCTTCAGCAGTATGTGGACCGAGAACTCACAGAAGTACAAGCTGGGTTTCGAAGGGGCAGAGGAACTAGAGACCAAATTGCTAACATGCACTGGATTATGGAGAAAGCCAGAGAGTTCCAGAAAAAAAAATCTACTTCTACTTCATTGACTAAGCAAAATCCTTTGACTGTGCGGACCACAGCAAAATATGGCAAGTTCGTAAAGAGAGTGCCTGACCACCTTATCTACCTCCTGAGAAATCTATATGTGGGACAGGAAGCAACAATTAGAACTGGATATGGAACATCTGATTGGTTCAAAATTGGAAAAGGAGTACGATAAGGCCGTATATTGCCTCCCTGCTTATTTAACTTACATGCAGAAAACATCATGCAAAAGGCTGGACTGGATGAATTCCAAGCCAGAAATGCTGGAAGAAATATCAACAACCTCCGATATGCAAATGATACCACTCTGATGGCATAAAGTGAGGAGGTATTAAAGAACCTGTTAATGAGGGTGAAAGGAGAGTGCAAAAAATGGTCTGAACAACATCAAAAAAAAAAAAAAGATCATGGCCACCAGTCCCACCACCTGGCAAACAGAAGGGGAAGATATGGAGGCAGTGACAGATTTTATCTTCTTGGGCTCCATGATCACTGCAGATGGTGACAGCAGCCACAAAATTAAAAGACCCCTGCTTCTTGGGAGGAAAGCGATGACAAACCTAGATAGGATCTTAAAAAGCAGAGGCGTCACCTTGCCGACAAAGGTCAGCATAGTCAAAGCTATGGTTTTTCCAGTAGCGATGTACGGAGCTGGACCATAAAGAAGGCTGACCGCCGAAAAATTAATGCTTTTGAATTGCGGTGCTGGAGGAGACTCTTGAGAGTCCCCTGGACTGCAAGGAGAACAAACCTATCCATTCTGAAGGAAATCAACCCTTCAACAAGCCACATGAGGAAGGAAGTGCTCAAGAATGGCCAGTAGAGGAAAAAAAGAACAGAAAGGGTGTTGTGCCCATGTCTGCCTACAGTCTACAAGACTCACCCAAATTTGCGCATCAGTTTAGAAAGGAGATTTCGCAGCTTCATGCGGAAATGGCGCCTCATGTCATCCGTCAACCCTCCTATCGCTTCTAACTGTAAAAAAGTACAAAAAATAAATTCTGCACATTGCTCCATAATCACATAAACTACACCAGTCTTCTATCCCACTTGCACATGACTTGGAATTATATCCTATTACTTCCTAAGAGTATTGAAAAAAACATTGTGCTGCGTGGGGCCAGGCAGATGGGTCAGAAACTCCCAACATGTACCCATGAGCTCCATGCTAGATACCACAAAGACCTTGGACAGGGCTGGATTTAGGTAATTTGAATTTCCTTCCTCATTTTCTTCCCTTTTAGTTACATATATTAGGGCCCACCTTCCCACAGACTAGTCCCCACACTGCATTCCTGCAATCTCACCATAGTCTCCATGTGACGACCCAACGAGGCTGTATCCAGGAGCAACAATGTCACCTTGAGGAACCCCAAGGCTGACTTGACAACATCTCGAGTCCGTGAGCCTATCATGAGGCAGACATGTTGCATGAGCTGTTCCAGGGCATCTGATCCAATGTGTTCTGCAATAGCACAAATCACATTAAGACAGATATTTCCATTCTTCAGACATGACAGAAGACTCCAGGCTGCAACCATACATGAGCTATTCTTCTGCTCAGGAGCAACGCACCACACATGTCCAACAAGGCTGAATAGTGCCTGCAACTGAATGGGTGCTAGAAACCCCAAAGTGTGTGAATCTTTGTTCACACTAATTGTTATAATCCTAAACATGAACTTTAGAAACACTGATAGCAAGATGAGCTGCATGTGATCAATGGGCTACATGTGCTTCTCCACTGACCTTCCCTCCCCTCCCATTCCTTTTTGGGACTACAGGGGGTTTCTACTGCCGCCCCCCCCAACTACAGTACTTAAAAAAAAACAATCAAGAAAACACACAATCCAGGATATGTACTTGTTTATGACTGCCACATATAAATGCACCTTTTTTTGTGCCAAACAGGCCAAAATGTGGACTTTGGGGCAGGAGCTGGGGAAGAATTTACAGCCTAGGGTGGATTCAGGGAGGGAATAGTCCTGTAAACTGCCAGACCTTGATTTTTAGGAATGCTTATCCATGCAGAAGCTTGGTGGATTGGCAGCCCCCAGCTTAGTGCATTTTAGTCTGAGAGAGAAGCTATTTTTCACACTGAAGAAGTTATCATCCAGATTCAGTTGCAGTGTCTAGTTGTCTCACCTTTAAACTCAAAGAGTAGACGGGAAAGAGCAAGTACAGTGCAGCTGATCATGGTGACAGAGCTGGTCAAGCCTGCATAGACCAGGAGAAGGTAACGTTGCATTCCATCTGAAGGAAATAAATATGGGGAGGTTAGTGTAACTTGAATAGCATAGACAGGACATTAACCAGACCCCATAAATTATCAGTAGGCATGAAGAGATTCCCCAGAAGGAGGACCACAGTGGTTTAGAATTGTACACTTGAAGGGTTTTAAAAGCAGGATAACGTATTGACTAAAGTTAGACACCCTGAAGCCATTGCTAAAATCTTGTTTCCCAAGCAATCAGGAAATCTTCTGGAACTTTAAAGGCCAAAAAGAGCAAAGGGCTCTATATAGGTCACTGGCGGAGGGCATGCAACAGAAGGACAGGATCATGGGTTCAGTCCCTGATATCTCCAGGCCAGGCTGAGAAAGATTACTTTCTGAAACCCTGGAGAGCCACAATTAGTCAATGTAGCTGCTAAGGAGCTAAATGGACCACTGGTCTAACAGTTTCCTAAAGAAGAACACAGATATTAACACCCGAGGGAAGGGGGCAGAAAAAAAGACATGAGCTACAGTGGACAATTACCCTCTGGCTACTGAAAATCCTGTGTTCTAAAGATGACACTAATAGGACTGTTTATAATGTGAAAATATTTTGGATAGGGACAACAGGCAGGGGTACACAAAATCCTGGACAGAGGCAGGACTAAGTGACTTCTCTGTTTGGGCCTTTGTCTGGAGTTTAATACCAGATGCAGAATTGAATACTTTGTAACTGTAAATTTTTAAACTTTAGAGGAACAAGGATAATCTGAAAAATACATGGGAAAAGTCTACTGAGATCACAGAATCCAAAAAGGAGGAAGAGGATTTCTAGAGATCAAATGTGGTTGTTCTAGATGTTTCTTCTTATGCTCACTATGCAAACTACCCAAATACAGTGGTGCCTCTCTTGACGAGGATAATCCGTTCCAGCAAAATCACTGTTAAGCGAAATCCTCCTCAAGCAAAATGAAAAAGCCCATTGAAATGCATTGAAAACCGCTCAATGTGTTCCAATGGGCGAAATACCTCAGCGTCCAGCAAAGATCCTCCATAGGGCGGCCATTTTCTGGTGCCTGTAATGCGAGGAATCTGTCCTAAGCACAGCGGGGAGCCATTTTAAACGGCAGGCAGTCATTTTGAAACCCGACGATCAGCTGTTTTCTGATTGCCGCAAAGCGAAAAATCGGTTCCCGAAGCATCGTGAAGCGATTTTTCCCATTTAAAACATTGTTTTACGATCGCAAAAGCGATTGCAAAAACTTCGTTAAGCGATTTCCTTGTCTGACAAGGTAATTGTCAAGTGGGGCACCGCTGTATACACAGAAGTTATCTATTTATGTAATTTGGGTATGAGTCTCAGACATTAGCAATTGAATACCAAATTAGGACCATTGTTTCTGAAGTACAGTCAGTAATTGTCAAGTGGGGCACCACTGTATACACAGAAGTTATCTATTTATATAACTTGGGTATGAGTCTCAGACATTAGCAATTGAATACCAAATTAGGACCATTGTTTCTGAAGTACAGTCAGAGGTCTCTTTGAGGCAGGAGATGTATACCACTTTAAGTTCTTCATTAAACACAGATCTTAGTGGGAGGCTCTCCAACATCCAAGTGATGCTTTTCTTTTCTCAGTATAAGCATACTTCTGTGTGGGCTCCTGGCCTTTTTTGTTCTTCCCAAACTCTTTGGTTTATTTTGTCCCGATTTGCATCAGCGCAGAAGTTTAGTACTTTCCTTTCCAATCTCAAACTTGTCTTCCTCTCCAATGTTCTTTTAATTGAGTAGCTTTATTTATGCGTGCTAATTTAATCCCTTCCCCCTCTTTTAAATGAAAGCAAGAAGGCAGTAGAATATTTTAAAAAGGGGAACAAGATTAAATTAGCATTCATTAATGAACCAAATCAATTAAAAAAAAGTGGGAGACATGAGGGATGAAATAAGACTGCAATATCTTTCTGCATGTTTCCAGCAGTATCCTTCTGGATCCCTTATTCCACCTGTCCTGGGATACCAGGAACTGCCTGTTGATTTCCAGGGAAAGAGCTGGGGTTGGGGGCAGGAAGGAAAGTCAGCTAGTGCATGCCTGGCGCTGCACTCCCTGAACACCTGCCTCTCTCTTCATAACTTCACTGTTGCCCAGGCACCTCAGGACTTGGCACAGTTGAAGAAAATGGCACCTCCATTAGGGCTGGCACTAGACTTGCTAGGGGTTGTGGACAGGAACCCCAGAACATTCAGGCAAGTCCTGCACTCTTCCAGAACCAGGGGAGGGAGGAGCAGAAGGAGGAAGGGGAAGGTGCAAGTGACTGATCTGGAGAAGCCCGCTGTTAGTCAACCCAGTGCCAGAGAGGCCTAGCCTACAGTTACTGCAATGAGTGAAGCAAGAGAGCTGGGCAGCAAAGTCAAATAGTCAAAAACAGAAAGAGAGCCAAAATAGGCTTTAGTGACATAAAGACCGTGAACTCACAGGAGGGCCGCCATTTTCTTGTAACAGCCCAGTGTGGGCAATGAGGACTCACCCTTTGGAGTGGGGCCAAACCGCAGGAAAGCATGACCAATCTCTACAAGCAGATTATAAGCATTCTTGCGAGCACCCACAGACACCTCCTTGGTACAGAGTATGACCTAGAGGCAAGACAAAGCAGTTGTCAACACCATGATGGCATCTGCTCACCCACTGCCTTCGCCAAAGGTATCAGCTTTCAGTAGGAGCTGGAATATCAGCTGTTACCATAAACGTTTTTTACAATAAAAAAGTGCCCTAACTGTGTCTAGGAGTTTCTCTACAAGCCACATGGCACAGTGGTTAAACTGCAAAACTTCAATCAAGCCTCTGTTCATAACCCGATCCTGACAGGTTTAGGTAGCTGGTTCAAGGTTAACTCAGCTTTCCATCTTTCCAAGATCAGTAAAATGAGTATCCAGCTCATAGGGGGCAAGCTGTTGTTTGAATAATTATGTTGTAAAACCAACCAGAGAGTGCTTTAGCACTATGCGGCTGTATATAACAACAGAACAGATTATGCATCCACTTCTCTGGGCCATTGCTTGTTTTTCAAAAATGTGAGCCAAGAAAGCTTTTCCAGAAATAGAGAGTTTTTCCTTCGAGGCATTTATGCCTGTGAACGCCCTTCCAATTGTTGCCATCAAATCTAAACTAGAGAGCACATTAATCAGAATGTTAAGTAAATGTGAACATCAAAGACAGTTTGTCAACAGAAGAAAGTTACATTACCACAAGTTGAGAAGGGTTGGAAACCCAGCCAGTGTGAGAGAGTAATAATTTCAGCCTACCCTCCTTCACTGTTAGAGAACAAAATGGCTATTCCCTCCATCACAAGAGAAGAAAGGAGAAATGGCTGTTCAGGAAGGTTCAGGCTTATTTGGCATATGAAATAATATGCTATTTGTCATACAGAAGAGACAAGGCTGAGGAGAACAAAGGGAGGGCTGATATACATGTAGTGGACTTGCCACGGACTCATGTTTGTGGAAAACAGAAGAAAGGAAATGTAGTTTACGAACCAAAAAAGCATGAGATTCATAACGAAGAAAAGAATGACCCTTTGCCTTATGTCTTGAGTCTCTTAGGACAATTTAATTTCACCCACATTCAAACGTTCTAGCTGAAAGCACCACTCTTGCCAATCATCCAGGGACACAACAAATCAAGTGTTTCCCCAGTTCTTTCCACACCTTGAAAAATCACTCTTTACTTCCCTTCTCTCACCTCTGGCACCAGAGCAGTGACAAAATCCTCATGTTCAGCTGTGAGCTGCTTGACAATGTGGAAGAGGCACTTTAGTCGGGGCTGCAAAGAAAGAAAGAGCATATGAAATCAGGGCCCAGTAGGGCAGGCTGCCACCAGAACCACCCCATTATCTCTTCACCAAGACTCCTTCAACCTCCTATCAAACTCAGGCGATAAAGCAACAAACCGCTTCCTTACCCTTTTGGCAGGGGATGTAGCATTCAGGAGGGAACCCAGGAGGTCACTTTGCAGTTGCTCTAGATGGCTTTGCACAAAGTTCTGGCATGCAGGGTTGTCTGAGGCACACACCTCCTCCAGCAACCGATAGGCCTTCTTCTGTATCCTGTGGTCCTTGCTCTAGAGTGAATGGAACATACAGATTATTCAAGTGATACTACTTGAAAGTATACCACCAAAGAGACCTTCTGTCCTGTTTAAACACTGCCCAAGCTGTAAGGGAGAGGCTGTACATGAGTAATTTTGGCAAGAATATCTAAATGTGACAACAAGCCCCTGGTGGACAGATCTTTCCTATGCAATCAACTGCATTTGGGTAATTTAATATTCTTTTTTGTTGCATAGAAAGTGCTTGTAGATAAATAGTCCACACACAACTAAGGAAACATTTACAAGGCATCCAACAAACAAAGAATATATATGAGGACAGGCATCCAAAATGAAACAAAAATGGCAAAGAATCATTAGACAAAGAGTCATTAGAATATTACTCTCAGTGTCACATGATAGCACAATAGCACCTGTTAGAAAGACTCCATGCAAACATCTCCTATTTTATCAAGAGAACTTCAGGAACCAGTTGCAGAAGCTCAAATTGTTACAGTGGGGTCTTGACTTACGAATGGCTCGACATACAAACATTTCAACTTACGAACCACTCTCATAGGAATATGTGGACTCGACTTACGAACTTAGATTCGAGTTACGAACTCTTTTTTTAAAGCTAAGTCATCTTAGGTTAAAAGGAAAAAAAGAAAAAATATCCCCCTCTAGTGGCAGAAGGCGGAATAGCAGCTTCCCATTAGTTTCTATGGACGAAAAGAGCAGATACGGATTAAATTGTTTTCAATGCATTCCTATGGGAAATGCAGATTCGACTTACGAACTTTTCAGCCTGAGAACTGCCTTCCAATACGGATTAAGTTCATAAGTCGAGACCCCACTGTACTAGCAAGTTCAAGCTACTCTCTGTGCTACTTTTAAATAAATTTTTCCCTGCAGTTTAAGCCTTATAAATAAGGCCAGCCAGTCTTCTTAAATGCAATGGTGAAATGCTTTCCCCTTTCCCCCCGAACATATTTTGGCATGATTCATTTGACAGCCCCTGTGGTCAGAGGCAACAGCCCTGGCAACTGTGATGTGTGACACTCCCAGCTAACAAGAAAGGCTTACCTGTAAGGATGGCTGGATGGTGGAGTAGAGGACATTAACAGAGGCCTGATCAACCCAGGGGGCCATAGCTATAATAAGGTCCAATATGGAAAGCCTAAAGCAGAGAGGGCACATTTAGAGGGCACATTTAGTAAGGATGAACACAAAACGTACAATAAATGTTAAGTGTAAAAAATCTGGACGTGTAGAAATCTGGACCTCTTCAATTTCAGACTAGAAACACTGCCCGCTACTTATGTGTAAATCCATCAGTTCTACATCTATTAAGTCAAGGACGAAGGACAAGACTAGGAATATTACTTGTGTCTTTTAATGGAACTCCTGACTGACTTCCAACTTCCTTCCAACTTTGTCTAATGGATAGTGGGAAGAAAAAAAAAATCAGGCTTCTCATGTGGCAGTACTTGCTCACTTCCCTGTAGCTCAGCAGGATCAGACTAGGATCTTGCTCGAGTATAGAGATATAGAGAACTTTGATTTTCATAAGCCTATCCACTGGAAAGAGTGGGAGATACAGCCTATTCAAGGACAGTCTTCTCCACTACAGTGAAAAAGCTAAGAAGCTGAGCCATAAACTAGAATTGTTACCTAGTAAATTCTGAATTATCTTTGTTGGTCAGTTTCTCACTTGCTTTCTCCACGAATGTATGCACCATCTGCAACAGAAGGAAAGAGAGCGTATGATTCCCAAGGAGCCCTTTCCTATCACCTACACCACCCAATTTCCAAAACCTACTCAGCTCCAGGTACCTCCCCACTCCATCCTAATATGCCAGAAAGTGGTGAAGATCTCACAGCCAGATTTTTTTGTTCATAGGCTCCGCTCACCTCAGACTGGGTAATTGTCAAATAGGCCCGGATAGTATCTAGTACAGAGCGCCGATGCACAGGACTCTCACTGGCACTGCTCTCTTGGCTATATACGTTGAACAGGATGGGCAGGAAGTTCTTTGCAAAGCGCCCAACCTCAGCACGCTCAGCCTCTGCAAATGACAACACAGAAGCACAAAAGATGGAAAGACGGGTCCTGCTGGTGCAGGCTGCTTCAATGCGTTCAACAGGTAACACGGCTCTTGTCAGCTTCTTCCAACACAGGTATATCAAACAAAATTGAAGCAGGGTTATAATACAGGGGAGAAAACAGGCAAATGAAAATAGTGTTTCGCTCCATTCCAAGTTGGTTGAATATCATGTGTCCTTTGAACCTGGAGGAGGAGGGCCACGGTAAGAAATTCCCCATTGCGCAGCTCAAGAAGAAGCCAAAAGGACTAACAGTATACTCAATGAATGGGTGTTTCTCAGCTCCTTTGGCTTGCTTTTGTCCACTCTTGTTTTTTCAGCAGAAAGCACAACTGGTCCAGAAACAGATTCAGCTACGACTCTAGTAAGGATGAAAAGGACAAGCATGTCTTCTATAGACTGATCATACCTGTTTGGCAGCCCTTGTTAATTAGTCTGCGTACAGCTTGGCATACAATCAGCCGCAGATCAGAATGGTCACTGATAGCCGTGCCCAGAGTTCGGGCCAGTCCTTTAAATGAGGTTACTACATCTGTGGGGTGGCTGCAGAAAGCAGGAAGCAGGGTCCAGATCTGAAAGGTGAAGAAGAGAAAGTTAACACTGTTACCTGCCAGTAGACTAATCGTCAACACCCTAAACATGGTATCGAGACCCTTCGCTTTAGAAAAATATCAAGGGGCAATTCAGGAATTAGATAACATGAAGGTGTTCATTATGCTGGCAGGAATATCAATACGTACACACTCAAGGATGCCCGTACAGAAGTCTGAATTTGAAGATGCATAGGATGGCTTTTACAGAAAGTTACACAAAACATCATGAACAAGTGAAATAAACTATTTTCTTTCAAGTAACCTTTTCTTACAGGATGTCCCCCAGCTGAAACGCTCCTTTTGGCATCTGGCCTGTTCTCCTCTCAACAGGAGAGATCAAAGTTAATCTGGAACACTCTCAGAGAGACCTTGACCTGTTTTTCCAAAGGATAATATGTCTGTTAATTGTTTTACGGAGTCTTGTTTAAAACAAAGGAGATGCAGGAATAGGAAAATCACCCTGGGCATTTTTAATATACTAATACAGTACATTTGCTCAAGTCTAATACATGTATTTATACATTATGAATTAGAATAAGAAGGAATCTCCTCAACAGCATTCTCTTCTCAGTGGCAGAAGGCTATGGAAGCAAAACTGGGGGTGGGGGTGGAATTCCTCACCTGCCACTGCAGTGTATCATAGATCTTGGCTTCCAGATCCCGCCCTTCACTGGCAAGCTCTGTGGCTGCAGAAAGATAAGAACTGTGGGTTTTATTCATTCATTCATTCATTCATTCGATTTATACCCCCCCCCAACCAGACAGTGTCTACTCGGGGCGGCTTACAAGTAGTTTAGTAGACATTAGCAAGTGAACCTCAAAAAAGAACTGACACTCTGTCTGTGAGGCATCTGGAGCTCACAAGCCATAGCTCCCCATACTAGATAAAATTGCTGTAAAAGGGTATTGTATGCAGGAATTGGTGCATATCTGCCCAGTATATGGATGTCTGCTTGCTGAAGGAAAAAAGTAAATTTAAAAAAAGGTACTGTACTTAAATTAGAAGATCACATTGTGTAACATGACATTTTGAGCTTTGAATTCCACACATAACTCAAATGCTCCACTATTCCTAACTTGCTGTCTGCTGAGAAACAGTCACCTTAAGGAGCTGGATTTATTCTGAGAATACACTATGGTAAATTTACAGGTAGAGTCCCAGGTCAGTGGAAGTAAACACAGCTGTGCTGCATTCTTCATCCCTAGAGTCAGAGATTTTGTCATGCTCCTTCTGGGTCCAAAATGCAGGTTTCCTTGGACCAGTCTTACTTGCACTCTTAGTTACCTCTGTTTTTTAAAGTAGCAGTCAGTGGCAGGAAATAACTGGCGAAAAAGGCAAGGGGTGCATTTCGAATGTAGTCTCGGAGCACAGGAAGGAGCCAACTGCGAGGGAAATCCAGTATCTCCCTGTTGGGATAGCATTGGGGAGGAACATGAGAGAAAACAAGACACAATTCAGAAAATTCACTGCTACTAAATATGCTCAATTCTGGTTCCGATGTACCTTTCTCAGTGTCTTCTATCAGAAGAATGTCATCAAAGTGGAAGCATGAAAACTCCAAGCAATGAACACTTTCTGTAGCAGCCTCTGACCATGTCCAAGAATTTCTGGCCTTGGAGCATGCACATGTGCAAATCCAATCAGGATGAACTCAGAAACATTTCCAGCTGGCAAATGTCCAAACAGAGGCATGCAAACGTGTTCTGAGCTTACAGGATAGTAGGAATCACAAAAATCTTTTCCAGCAAAACTAGTTTTATCTGGCACAAACCTTTGTGAGCCATAGTCCAGTTCATCAGATTGCATCTGATTCTGATCACTTGGGCTTCAGTCCACAAAAACGTATGCCAAATAAAATATTAATTAGTCTTTAAAATGGCATAGAACTCTTAGATATGGCCAGAATTCCATGGGAACCCTGAACAAATATGTCTGCTGGAGACTTCTCCTAAAAAATTGGTGCGTCTTATGGAAAGGTGCGTCTTATGGAGCGAAAAATACGGTATGTCTGCTGGAGGACTCACATTTTTGCTACAGCAGGTGCTCAGCAGAGCTAAGCAACTACTGGGTCCTGCATACCAATATCCTCTGCTGGCCTGTGGGAAACAACACTGAATACCTGGTTGCAACACAGGGGCTTACTAATTTTGGCTGTTAAGTGAGGCAAAAATTGTGCTCAGTCCCACCACTCTCTTCATCCATGGAAAATGGCAGGTCACAGAGTCCCTCCATGATTGCTGGGCAAGCCCCTACTTATTTTCACTAACTCAGTAAGGAAGAAAGGCAGCTCATTTACGCCGAGCTGAACCTCAGAGAGATTTTCAAGGCCTCTGTTTAAAAAAGAATCGGTGCAGTACAAGGGAGAGCCCCCAACCTTCTCCAGGATGCAGAAGGGTAAGGACTGTTGCTAGATTAAAAACAAAAACAAAGAGCTCCCCAAAACAAGAACAGTTTTGGACACTTGTACATCTGCATATATAGAAATTGGTTTCATCTATCATCAATACTAATAAGAAGGGAGGAAACTGGAGTGGAAACACTGCAACTCTCCTAACTGCTGTGGCTCCCAAGCTCAGGAAAAATGAGAGAATACTTACTCAGTGCCATCAATATTCAGAGGCACAGCCTCCAGAACCAACTCAGGGCCCATAGTTGCCACTGCAGCTCCCAGAGCCTGGTCAAGCAACACCGTATGAGGAAAGTGTGGGGAACTACGCAGGTCAGCTAAGGACTGCAGGCACTGGAGCAGAAAGAAGGAAGAATCACCCAGTGAGAAGCATCACTTACTTACTTACATGCATACTCTTGATAAAAAGAAATTTCTCATTTGCAACTTTCACTTCCTTAGCGTCTACTATAGCACACACCCGTGCCTCTTTCCAGTCTCTAAGCTTAAAAGCCAAGGTATCATGAAGGTATCATGCATCTCCACAGATGAAAGGCCCTGATGCACAGGTCGTCTCTTTACTGGGAAGGAGGAAAATAGGCCTTGATCAAAACAGCTTTTTTTTTTTACCTTCCGCATGATGGAGTGACACTGCTGCCCACATGCCTCAAAGAAAGCCCTCAGAACTTGAAGTGCAAAGGCCCACGCTGCATGAAACCGGTATGTCAGGCCTTCCTCCACTGCTCTACAGGAAGAAAAGCCAATAGCTATTCCAAAGTTCATGTGATACATTTTGGCTATTATGTCCCCCACTCCACCCCTATCCCAGCTGGTGGTGGTTGTCTTACCGGAACATCTTGCAGACATGGGAAGCGGGTCCAGCAGGGGCACCAGGTGACACCTTTCCCACTTCTGTGATGTGAGGGGCCACACAGTCGCTGAGCAACACCTGCAGGAGGCAGACAGACATGCCTCATATTAGGATCGGTTCACATTCCCTACACTAGACAAGAGCATAGATCAGCTGGCTACATCCCAAAAGGGGGAGCCCAACCATTCTATAGCTTAGCAAAAGTTACCAAGCCTCCAGAGGTACAATTTTTACTGGCTCTGAATCAGGCAGCTGGGAATAAGGATGGCACAATACCTTGAGAGTCTGGGCTGCAGCAGATACCACCTGGGTATGGGGAGAAAGGAAGGCATTCATGGCTGCATTGAAGAGACGGGGAAGGTGAGCCCAGCCCAGCTCCCATTTCAACCTACAGTGGAAAAAATGTTATGGATTACTTGTGGAACAGATCCCACGTTACCCAAAAATGGCTGCTATTACCCCAGTTTCCCCCTCTTACTTTGCCAGGTTGACATGGGCCCGCTCCATGACAGACAGCCAGGCCAACAGAGGTTGCAGATCACTCTCATTTGGTACATAATCATATAGAGCCTAGAGCAAAAGAACAGGGAAAATGACTTGAACGTCCAGCGCTCGTGGTGCCCTACCTTCCCCCAGTCTAGTTCTTCTGTTACTCACCACAATGATCTGGGCATTGAGCTCAACTGGTAAGCAGGAGGCAGGCGGCTGGGCAACAAAGAGGCTGTGAAAGGCTTTCATAGCACATGCTGTCACGAGCTGTGGAGGAAAGGACACACAAAGATGAGGCACTCTTGCCCTCCCTTCTCTTTCCACCTACTTCCAATCCAGGAAGACAAATCTGGTAGCCAGTATTTTCCATCCACAAACGAGGATATTTGGGCAGGCAGCTAATCTGAGGCAAGCAGTCATGGGCAACAGCCAAAAGTCATCCATTGGTTCCCACTAAAGCTGTTTTTGCCCCTCCAACAGGGCTGTCAGAGCCTCAACAATGGCAATGCCACAGAGGCATCAGTGAAAGGAGGTAACTTACCACATGGCTGAGGGTCATAACCCGGAGCAGTGTCTCGCAGCAGGACTTGACAGATGGGGCAGGCAGGCAGGGCAGGAGGTCACGCAACAGAGTCAGCACATGTAGGGTGGTTGTGGCCTCTTTAGCCCCTGGGAAAAATCAGACACATTCAGTGCCACTACCCTTTCAACAGAATGTGTTGACTATGGCTTCTCATGAAATTTATACCCTGCTCTTCAAGATCTATCCTGTAAACACTTAGACATATTAGTAAAATGCAGTTATGAGAAATACAGTTAACACTGAAACCATGTGATAAACAAGCAGAGCATAAAAAGAATTTCAGGAGGCAGTAAAACTAGCACCAGCTCTTAGAAAAGACAGAAGTTTTCACTTGATGGTGAAGATAAATTTGAGCATGCAAACGTATGCCAGGCTTTCCAAACCTGGTACCTATGGAGTTCTGAGTTAGATTATGGATGGTCTCCTATTTCTACCCACTAGAGCTTTTCAAAAAGCAAGGTGGTGAGGTATGCTGCCAAGCAAAACACTAGCGAAGGCTCCAACTGCCTACCATCTCAATTTACCCACACATTCTGGTGAATTTAAGGTAACAGACAGCTAGAACTATGGCTGGAACTGTGCCTTGCAGCATGCCAAACCTCCTTTGAAAAAGCGGTTCTTGTTTCTTTCAAATGCAGCTCTAGAAGCCTAGCAGAATGCAGAGGGAAAAGGAAAGGCAATGGCAAATCGGGCTGAGGAAGGACAGCAGAGAAGGGCACGTGGGGGATTTTAACATGCATGGCCCAGAAAGAGGAAGGGTGTGCATGTAGGTTCTGGTGTTGAACTGCAGAGAAGGGCAGCAAAATGGCTTGCTCAGACCTGGATGGATGGGTTGGCAGAAAGAAAAAGATATGATAGTCAGTTAATTCAGCAGAATGGAGAAATCAGTTAGCTGCATAGGAAATCAAAAGGGTACAATCATATCCGTTCTGCGAAATATATTCATTTTAGATAAATTTATTCAGAAGTAATGGGGTTTTTCCCCCTTTTATGAACTAGGTATTTGGAGAAAGCAGAAAATTCTATTAAGAAGGAATGATTTTGTGCTTTGGCCTCAGATGCTACCCTTTTCATATTTTTGTACCTGCATATCACTTTTCTCTAAGTCTTCTGAGTTTGCGTTCTATGAAAAGGATACTCTGTTATCCTATAGGGTTTGGGATGCAGACCCAATTCTTCTGGATAATTAGGCATCCTCTATTACTAGGCTCACCCTCAGGTCCATCATTCTGTGTGGTGCTCATGACAATTGCCAGATGTGTCTTCAGGGTCCTAAATGTTGCTGTATACAATCTATATTTGGATTGTATAGTTGCTGTACAAGGAGGTGCTGATAAGTATTGAGCCATTCCCAGAAAATAATTGAGCTAGGAAGCTGTAACTGCCACACTATTCTACATATTCCCCCCGGAAGTCAATGCACTTGCGACATCTGTCCTGCAGCTTCTTATGTCCCTACAAATAAAATTCTTCCGACTGCTCATATAACCACTCATTTGCAGCATTAGTTGCCTCCAGAACACCTCCAAATCATTGTCCCTTTATGTGTTTTGTGAGTTTGGGGAACAGATAATAGTCAAAAGGGGCCAGGTAGGGAGAATAGGGTGGATGGAGCATCACCTGACAGACTAAGGCCAGTTTTGCCATTTTTTCACCTACAGTATGTGACGAGGCATTGTCATGCAACACTATAACACTTTTGGAGAGCTTTCCTTGACATTTTTCCTTGATGTTTTGTCTCAACTTCGACAATGAAGCACAGTAATATTTTGCATTGATGGTTGAACCCTGTTGGAGGTAGTCCACCAGCAGAACTCCCTTCTTATCCCAAAAAACTGTTGCCATTTGCTTCTGCACCGACCTTTGCACTCGGAACTTCTTTGGCCTGAGGGAACCACTGTGCCTCCATTCCTTAGACTGCTCCTTTGTCTCAGGATCACAACAGTAGATCCATGTCTCATCACCAGTTACCAGTTTGCCCAGGAAATCTGACTCATTTCTTGCAAAATGTTCCAAAAGAGCCACCAATGACTCCACACGTTTCCTCTTTTGTTCGGTTGTCAAAAGTCTGGGGATCCACTTTGCTGCCAGCTTTCTCATTTCCAAGTCATTGTGGATAATGGCACCAACTCTCTCATGTGATATTCTCAGATATATAGCAATACTTTTGGCTGATATTCGGCGATCCTCTATTATCATGTCATGGATGGCTTTCACATTTGCAGGCACAGAGACAGAAACAGGCCTTCCACTGGGTTTCTCACTTTCAGCACCGAAATGGCCAGTTTAAAATTTGACAACCCGATGTTTAACTGTTGCATATGAAGGGCCACTGTCACCCATAGTTTGTGACATTTCATCGTGGATCTGCTTTGCAGCTTTCCATTGGAGAAACAGGAACTTGATTATGGTCCTATGCCCTTCCACACTGAACTTTTCTGGAGGTGCTGCCATATTCACTTTGGACCAGAAAATGAAAGTTAAGTTAAAATCATAGGTCGTTTTTTGCACGTTGAATACAAATTGGCCCAAACACCCTGCAATTTATAGCTTCCTAGCTCAATTTTTTCTGGGTAAGGCTCAATACTTATCAGCACCCCTACCTATACAATTCTACAATCCAAGCCAAGGAAACATCACAAACTATTTCATCTTAGCTCACCAGAAATGTTCATGTCCTCAATCAGCTTTGCAGTTATGGGGAGATACTAACACCATCTTCTTAATATATTTGTTTGAACCATTCAACAAGGTGTTACAACAAAGAATGGACATTATCACAAATATGGTTTCGGAGAGGTAGAAATACCACTCCACCTTTTGCTTTGGTTTCCGAAGCTGCAAAATCTTGTGGACATTTGATCTACACAGTGCAACAGTTTATCATCCTAAGTTCCCATCTCATGTACCTCCAGCTTTCTCAATCTCTTGTACACAGAACTTGGCAGTAGAAGATGCAGCTGGATGATGAGAGGGAGCCCCATCTCCAAACAGAAATTCACTACCTCTTAAAATGGAGCAAACACCATGCTGGGCAGTCTTGCGAACCTGCAGGAAGGAAGAAGGGTATGAGAATGACTATAGCATTACCTAACTCAGGGCTACCGCATACTAGAAATAGTAACAGATTCTCTTTATTACCTATCTTGGATGCTTTACAGCATGGAGATGAGGATCAGTACCTTCATTGACTCACCTTGGGCTTGACATGGACAGTAAAACTGAGAAGGCCATGGAAAGTCTGCATAGTCACAGGGTAATTCCAGGCAACCAGATTCTGTCTTCGCAACAGGGTAGCCAAGCAGGAGAGCATCTGATAGGAAAGGGGGAGAATAAGAACAGCCATAGATTACCCAGTACAACCGTACAGTTTTTCAGCTCTCCATTTCTAATCCATCTGGCCTCATGAAGTGTCAAACCAATGGCCTACACCTTTAATTGCAAGAACATCAGTTCAGCCTGGCGTTCCTCCACACACGTTTGTTCATAGGCACAACAGCTCAAGAAATTCATTGGTTTATTGAGCAATTAGGATTCTCAGTCTTTGAAATGCTCACTACATTGCAAAAAAGCCCCTATTAATAACAAGTTCTAACATCTAAACCAGAGTCACGTGATGTGTGGTCTCCATCACCTTCAGCCAGAGTTTGGAGAGCCACTTTTTAAAAGTAAGTAACTATGTGACTTGTTGCTAAAGCCAAAATAAGAAATCCTCTGCCACTCTAATACTGATGATGAAGATGCAAATTGCTGCATTAGCCATTGTTGGTCAATATGCCTTTTTAAAACACATCTATCTGAAAAGGTAAGAATATGAGCTAAAATGGGGAAAGTGGCCTGAAATTCCCCTCACTAAGGCATTTTAGATTCCAGAGTATTACAAGAAATGACCAGATAGGCGGGGTATAAATAAAATAAAATAAAACAAACAAATAAATAAAATGTCACTTGCTGTGGTAACAAATGGTGGCGGTAATAAAACTCAGTTCTTACTTTTTTGGAAATTGGAATTTTGTTATAGGTGGCTGGACACTTTGGAGGCTTGGAGCCCCAGGAGTCTGGACTGTGTCTCAGAAGAAGTCTGTCTGTGCAGCCTTAGACAAGATGTACAGTCCCAGAGTACCACTGGGAAGAGGGTCTGGTAAACCACTTCTGAGTATTTTAACTAGGAATCAACTTGATGGGACGGAATTATATTTAATTTAATATTCGTATGCCCTTGTTTCTGTAAAAAAAGTAACACATTTCAAGTAATGCCATTACTTGGAACTGTTATTTAAAAGCTCTGTCTTCACAAAGTGGCAATGGTGGCTGGGGCTAATGGGAGTCTAACAAGATTTGGATGGCCACTCACTGCCCCGACCAACTTCACATCTTATGAGCTTGTCTGCAGTGCCTCCCTGAAACACTTACCCAGCGCAAGGCAGAAGTGGAGTCTCTACAAGCTTGTGAATTTAAGATTTCCATGAAAGCCTTTGAAGTATCAGAGAACTTCTTGATTAGCACAGGACCTGGTACCCTATTGAGGAGTAAGGAAGACACTAGCATGAAGGAGAAATAACAGCAATTATTCTGCACTTCAGTAAATTCCATCTTTTTTGCAGCCATACTCAGTTGGTGGGACAAACTTCTACTTTCCCAGTCCTTGAATCATCCACTCAATTCAAAGGGCACAGGGAAAATGAAACCCCTGGATCAGCTCCTGTGCTTCTTCACTGGCTCAGTGGTCATCCACAGTTGGGGCAAATGAGGAGTTTTGATCACTTCATCAAAACTGAGATATATTAAAGTTCAAAATGTATAAAGAAATAGCTACAAGAATGCTGAATACATTCTCTATATGGAGGAACTAATAAATTCAAGATTTTTTTAAAGGCAGGTTTTGGCCCCAAAATTGCACTTGGATTGTATTTCAGTAGTACACTAAATCATGTTAGCTGACTTTAAAACAGACATCAATGAAGAATCTCATGCACCTTGCTGATTGATTGCTAAAAGATAATGAAAAGATTGAGTGTGCAAATGGATTGATGACAGTCTTACGTTTGGTAATTCATGGACGTTTTCAGATAAAATCAGCCTTGGCTGCAGAAACCGTCAATACAGCATGGAATTTTAAGTTTACATCTTTAGTTGTTCTAAGCTCTCACTGAAACCTCTGGCAATGGTACACCACTGGTCTAAATCAGTGCACACTTCTTGTATGCATAAACTTACCTCTTCAATACCAGATTCAGAAGATAAGCAACAGCAGCCAGGGATTCTGAAGATTCCACAGCTTCCAGAGCAGTCATCTGAAAAGAGATGGTACAGTGGAGGAAGCATTCAGAAAAGAAGCAGGACAATTGGGGAACTTCATCCTGTAGTAAGTCTGAGGAATCACCTTCCTCTGCCCCAATCTGTTTGTATGCAGAAGTCATCAGAAATTCTTTAGTGTCCCTCCTCCCCCACTGAAACATGATGAGTGGTGACCAAGGACAGGGCCTTTTTAATGGTGGCATCCTCCATGTAGAATGATCTCACCAGGGAAGCTCCCCTGGCTTCCCTTCTGCTTCCTTCCTCTTTTTTTGGCATCAGAAATCCTTGCTGAACTACTACAATTCAGCCAGCAAATCTGTATCTATCATCTGCTCATTCCTGGTTTATATAAACAAACACACACAAACAAAAATGGGTAATGGATATCAACCAGCAATATGCAGCTGGAAATCTATTGTAATTTAAGACTGTTTGCATCCCAACATTTTAATATTTTTTTCATAAATATTATTACAATATACTTCGATTTATATATGAATGGGTCTTTATAGTTTTGATTTCGCTCATTGTGCAGATAACTTCACTGTGCAGATTTTGACCACATTATACAAGACTCAGATAAAATCTGTTCCGTTCTCCTTAGGCTTTTACCAGATACTAGACACTTGCGATCATTCATGGGCACTATGACCCCAGCAGTGGTTGATAACTGTGAAATACATTGATACTCCAAATAGCAACAGCCTGCCCTATTTCCCTTGGTACTTACCAATGCACCAAAATACTCTGTCTCACTCTCTACACCACCCTGGGCCCGGATCACTTCTGTGACAGCAGCCAACACTGCACATATCTGTAAAGAACCCAAGAGTACAAACTGATAACCAAAATGAAAATCAAGCCCTTGACATCCATGACCCTGTCCTGTTATCTTTCCTAGAAGGAGGAACAAACATGGTAAGGCATACAGATTCAATTAGGGATTATGTGGCACATTGGCAACCACTCCTAGTGAATATGAACTATTTCTTAGAAGTATATATTCAGTTGTCATTGCTAACAAATAAATGGCAATGCACCAATGATCAAGCCTACTGCTGGTTAGATGACAACAACACTAAGAAGATAAGCAACAGCAGCCAGGGATTCTGAAGATTCCACAGCTTCCAGAGCAGTCATCTGAAAAGAGATGGTACAGTGGAGGAAGCATTCAGAAAAGAAGCAGGACAATTGGGGAACTTCATCCTGTAGTAAGTCTGAGGAATCACCTTCCTCTGCCCCAATCTGTTTGTATGCAGAAGTCATCAGAAATTCTTTAGTGTCCCTCCTCCCCCACTGAAACATGATGAGTGGTGACCAAGGACAGGGCCTTTTTAATGGTGGCATCCTCCATGTAGAATGATCTCACCAGGGAAGCTCCCCTGGCGTCCCTTCTGCTTCCTTCCTCTTTTTTTGGCATCAGAAATCCTTGCTGAACTACTACAATTCAGCCAGCAAATCTGTATCTATCATCTGCTCATTCCTGGTTTATATAAACAAACACACACAAACAAAAATGGGTAATGGATATCAACCAGCAATATGCAGCTGGAAATCTATTGTAATTTAAGACTGTTTGCATCCCAACATATTAATATTTTTTTCATAAATATTATTACAATATACTTCGATTTATATATGAATGGGTCTTTATAGTTTTGATTTCGCTCATTGTGCAGATAACTTCACTGTGCAGATTTTGACCACATTATACAAGACTCAGATAAAATCTGTTCCGTTCTCCTTAGGCTTTTACCAGATACTAGACACTTGCGATCATTCATGGGCACTATGACCCCAGCAGTGGTTGATAACTGTGAAATACATTGATACTCCAAATAGCAACAGCCTGCCCTATTTCCCTTGGTACTTACCAATGCACCAAAATACTCTGTCTCACTCTCTACACCACCCTGGGCCCGGATCACTTCTGTGACAGCAGCCAACACTGCACATATCTGTAAAGAACCCAAGAGTACAAACTGATAACCAAAATGAAAATCAAGCCCTTGACATCCATGACCCTGTCCTGTTATCTTTCCTAGAAGGAGGAACAAACATGGTAAGGCATACAGATTCAATTAGGGATTATGTGGCACATTGGCAACCACTCCTAGTGAATATGAACTATTTCTTAGAAGTATATATTCAGTTGTCGTTGCTAACAAATAAATGGCAATGCACCAATGATCAAGCCTACTGCTGGTTAGATGACAACAACACTAGTTGAAGATGCTTCCACATCTCTCTCACTGCTATATGTCTACTTCCACTCCCTCTTTCTGAAGCCTTGCTTGTCTGCTGTGTTTTCTACTTTCCCTTCTTGTTTCTTTTGGGCCCCCGTCCTTCCATTCCAAGTGTCATGAAACAATGTTCCTTTTTCTTATCATCTCATAATGTTCTCTGCTTTTGCTTTCTCAGACCTTCATTATGACTCCAAAGGAGTGAGAACTGCACACTTTTCCCCTACTCCTCAATAATGTATCCTCCCTCATATATTTCACTTCCCAAGAACACATGTTCCTGATCAAGAACATTCTCAAATAAGTATTTGTCTCAACTCTGATTCTCCTGTTGGTTGCATACTTTTGCACTAACCATTAGAGGAACACACACTTTTAAGCTTGCCTGGAAAAAAAAACAGGCTGAATTACCCGCTCTTCATGTAACATCATTTATGACATGGCCCTGAATCTAGTTACAGTTATTTATTTACTCTCCACAACCACTGAGTTGGACTTTCAGTATCTTATGTGCAGTCATTAGAGTAAGGATGAGCTTTGGAGAAAGGGAGGCTTTGGAGAGACAGCAGCTTTTCTCACCTTTTGGCTCAGTCCGGAGGTGGGGGCACAATCCTCACCTTTTTCGCTAAAGTACTAAACATTTTGCTAAACGTGAATTCAAGTACTGTTTTTGGTTGCTTAAATGGCACTTCGCTACGTTCCTCAAAAAACAGACAGCTGGTGTGCCACAAAGGAATAAAATACAATTTAATGGGCCTGTAACTTAACACATTTATTTCTTGTAACATTTATTACAAAACTGCCAAGGGCTAAACACTCTACAGTCCTGTTCTTGACTCCAAACATAATGCACACAACTCAGTTGTGAATGGAGATTGAGAGAAGAGACTGATCATTGTTTTGAAATTTAATATGAACAATATTTCTTCATTTTGTAAATAAAGGACAACTAACTCATGCACCTAATTAGTAACCACCACCAACAAAAACAACCAAAGCCCAAGCAAGTGCTCATGTTATGGCACAGGTACAGTTGGTGGGTGCTATTTATGGAGCAGTTTCTGACAACACTTATTTCAGTCTTTTGGAATGGTTACAGTGGGGTCTCTACTTAAGAACGTCCCTACTTAAGAACAATCCAACTTAAGAACAGCTCCATTTGCCAAATTTTGCTTCTACTTGAGAACAGAAATCCAAGATAAGAATAGGAAAAAAAACCTTTCCGTTTCTTTTTTAAACCTTAGGTCATCTTAGGTTAAAAAAAAGTTCTCCCCCTAGTGGTAGAGTACGTATTAACCAGCTTTGCATTAGTTCCTATGGGAACTAATGCTTCAATGTACGAACGCACCTCTACATAACAAAAAAACAGCCAGAACGGATTAATTGGTTTTCAGTCCATTCCTATGGGAAATTTTGCTTCAACTTAAGAACGTTTCAACTTAAGAACACCATTCCAAAACGGATTAAGTTCTTAAGTAGAGACCCCACTGTATTTGCTGTACATTTCTCCAATTGCTTCCAGTGTCTTTTCCTACTCCTTTTACTGCTTAGAATGCAAACATCACTTTCTTCTCTCTTTAGGTCTCCCCTCCCCTGTGCCCTTTCCCAATATTCTGTGCCTGGAAATGCATTTGTCTTGCATTTCATGTTCTCATAACAACTATTAATCAAGCACCTCCTTGTGGGCAGCAGAGTTGGATTCCCAGAGACGTTGCACTTTACTAAAGGTGAGGTTAGTGCAGTCAGTCAGGCCGCTCAGAAAAGTAGCTGTAGATTTATGGGTCTTAGCTGTTTCAGCGTTGTCATCCTCTTCCATAAAGGTCTGCGTTTCCTTTCCATCCCGTAAGGAAGGCAGCGGTCCTGGTGACTGCAATTCATTGTGCAGTTTTAAAGCATCCACAGTCAGGTTACTGTTTTCTATAACAGAAAGATCAACACATGGTCACTTCTGTGATTGACAGATACCTTATAATATACTACTAATAAGCTCGTGCCCACATTATAACTGCATACTGTTAAGTTGATTCTGATTTACAATGACCTTTTCCAGAGTTTTCTATGTAGAAAATACACAGAAGTGGTTTACCATTCCTTTCTTCTGGGGGAATCCTGGGTCTCTGCAGCTTGTCACAGGGCTACAGTCAGGCTCTTCTCCCCGGAGGCATAGTGGAGAATCACCTAAAACCTATGCCTTATACCTCTTTCCACAGAATCCCATGAAAATATCTATTTGCTACAGGCTGGGCTTACCTTTAAAGAACTACTTGCTGTTTAGGCATGAAGGCACTATAGACTGAAGGCCATGCTATGCTTCTTGCCCAAGTACACAAAAGTGCATTACTTATCTTTTTATCAACAACTTTGAATAGACTCTCTTCTCAATATATTCTAGCATATTATAAACTACTAGTTAAAAAGCCTTAAGGGCAGTAGTTCCTCCTTCAACATGACTGCGTCCCATCAAGTTAAGGGGGGAAAGGGACACACTTTGTTTTTTGTTGTTGCCTGGATCCATAATGGGACCCAAAGCTAAGACTAGAACCAGCTACACTAGGGCAGAGGCTGAGTACAGTACAAGACTTCATTGGCTCAGAGAGGCATTCCGTTTTTAATGCCAAGCAGTCGTAAAATGTGAAAAAATTAATGAAGCCGAAGTACTTTTCACCACTACTTGGGCTTCAATCCAGGATAACTACCTGCCCCGCTACCAGCACTTGTCCATCCCATTCAGCCTCCCTCTGGTCTCTACCTAAGTTGTCTTGTTCTACCCTCCTTGGCTCCGGTCTTTCCATTTATCCCAGCCTCCCATACCTGAGCGGGGAGCCAGCAGGCGACCACGAGCAGCCGAGCGGTAGCGGCGCCCTTCTGGGTTGCTGTCGCTGCTATGGCCCTTGCGCCAACGCTTCAGTTTACTGGCACAGCCGGATCGCAGCTTTCCGGAACGACCCATTTTGTTCGGTCCAAAGCCGAAAGAAACCACGTGTGGGCTTCTGCTTTCACCCTGTTTTCAAAGTAGTTCCGGTTACCCTCTTCCGGAACTTCCGGTCTGCCTTATAATCCGAAGACAGAGAGGAAAAGATTTCGCTACACAGCCGACACTTCCGGCTCCCCAATACAGTCCATCGATAGAACCTGCTGGGCAGGAGTAAACATATCTTTGCGACTGCGGTACTTTTAATATAACTGGGTTTTTTTAGAAAGAAGTTTTTTTTATTGTTCGCTAGATTCATCTGTTCCCACGGCTAACGAATACAACTCTTTTTAAAAGCAAGTACAAAATCAAAAGCAGCCGTGTTGGTCTACGACGACAAGATAAGTACCATTATGAAGACTACTTAAAATGCTGTAATGCGAATGGAAGCTTTCGCGATCTCAGGAACACTTCCTCACAGTCGACGAAGTCAGGCAATACTTGCACGGCTGTTGTTATGTTTTCAGCTCATTTGTGACTCATGGCAACCCGAAATAGGGATTTCAGATCTGGGAGATGTTGCTGGAGTGGTTTACGGTTGCTAACTCCCAGTGAGTTTCCATGGCTGATCAGGGATTGAATCAAGCTTTCCTGACTTCTGGTCCAACACTCTGTCCATTACACCGCTCTCAAACCTCTACTAGAATGAACAAAAATTCCACTGAAGAGTCAGTGTGGAGTAGCAAGTAGAGTGTTGAACTAGGACTCGGGAGATGGGTTCAAATCCCTGGTGGACCATGGAAACTCACAGGGTGTGCATGGCAGAGGTAAACTGCACCTTGGACATCTTGCATGCTTCAATAACTCTGTCAAGGTCATCATAAGTTAAAAGGACCTTGACAGCCTACAGTCACCTCAACATTCCGCAACAAAATCTGCTATTTGGGGTACTCCAGAATTCTTCATTGTGCTATGATATAACAATCAATTTGACCAAACTCCTGAAGGCAGTGGAGACAGGAGGGCCTGGCATGCTCTGATCCATGGGGTCACAAAGAGTCGGACCTAATGACTAAACAATGACAAATAACAATTAAACAGAAGAGTGAGAAAAAGCTGGGAACTCCATGGGGTTTCCCGTCAGACTCCGCTTCCAGAGGCTGCAAGGGGCAGATGTCTCGGTTGCAGACAGACTATTTATTCAGAGATGGAAACTCATCATTTCCAGCCCAGTACATATCACTATATGTGATCTGTTACAGTAATTTTCATTGTGGGAGAGAATTTAATTGCTGGTCTCTCAGCCATTAACCCCCTTCATGGATTGCTGCGTTGTCATGGCGAAGGGGCTTGAATAATTCAGAGAAGCTATGGGTTATGCCGTGCAGGGACATCCAAGACAGACAGGTCATAGTGGAGAGTTCTGACTAAACACGATCCACCTGGAGCAGGAACTGTCAAGTGGGCCTTAGAAAGCATGGCTAACAACAACGTCAGTGGAGGTGAGGGCATTCTAGTTGAAGTATTTAAAATCTTAAAAGATGACGCTGTTAAGGTGCTACACTCAATATGCCAGCAAGTTTGGAAAACTCAGCAGTGGCCAGAGGATTGGAAAAGATCAGTCTACATCCCAATCCCAAAGAAGGGCGGTGCCAAAGAATGTTCCAACTACTGTACAATTGCACTCATTTCACACACTAGCAAGGTT